AGCAAGAAGAAGCAGTTTAAAAGTCCTCACTATATAAAACAATAGGTCACAAACACAAATAGATTGCAGATTGGGGGGAAAGGACATTTGCAAAGAGCAAAGGTCCCCTTGTCCACATATTACCTCAAAAAACAAACAAAAAAAAAAAAAAAACCTAAAAACAAAAACAAAAAAGTTATTTCAAAATTTCATTGAGTGGGGTGGACTCAATTATTCATTAACATATTAAAAAATAAACCAATTCTCATGAAAGTTCTCATAACACAAAAATGTTAATTAGGCCTACTATGGTAATTACTTCACAATATATACATGTGTCAAATCATTACTATTATGTACCTTAAGGTAATACTATGCTATATCAATCATATTTCAATAAAATGAGGGGCCTATTCTCAAAATATGCAAACTCTTCTACTCTTCTTATGGTTGGTATCTTCCTGATATATGCTGATAGATATAAAATTATAATTCTACTAGAGGCTCAGTGCATGACATTTGTGCACTGGGAGGCGAGGCAGGGGGTCCTCAGCCCGGCCTGCACCTTCTCACAGTCCGGTATGTGGGAGCAGGCCTAAGCCAGCAGGGGTCTGCCCCCTGGTGGTAAATGCACTTCATAGTGACTGGTTGTTCTGTCGTTCGGTCAATTTGCATATTTGGGTTTTATTATATAGGATGTTAGTCACAGGACAAGTAACAGTTCAGCTTACAAGGCAAATCTTACTAGCATCTCCAAGTACCCTTTAATTACTTGCTTGGTAGAATTTTTTAAATATCCTCATTCTTACTTTCCATGTGGTTTGTATGGTGAGCTAGAAAGTCCCTTTTAAAGGACTTGTAAGTCTTTAAAGTCCCAAATTCACTGTCTCATAGCCCATCTGAGTAAGCAGCTCTGCGAGGAACATACCACACCATGTCCTACATTTTTACCTCTGAACAATAAATGCCCACATCCTTAAAAAGTACTGCACAGACAACCACACACAACTCATCACCATCCTTCCTTCCCTCTACCATGGAATTTTCCAGGGCCTGCCCAGTTATCCATTTCCCCTTCCTAGCCAGGTTCATTGCTCTGGCTTGGTCTTTCCACAGGACACGACATATAAAACCAAATTCTAAATGCTTTTTTAAACTTTTCTCACCCTATTTCCCTGACCCTTCATGGAACTACTCTAAAACTCTTCAGTGGAGTTCCAACAGCCAAGAGCAGTGTTTTTCAAATTACCCATTGCTACCATCAATTATTTTTCTGTCATTTTTTTCCCTCAAGAATAGAATAGAAAATACCAGAATGCATCACACAAAGTGTATTATTTCACAGCATTTTACCATTTCTATATGTGTGCACTAGATTTTGAGATAAAACTGTGTACCTTACAATAGTGGACTGCCCCAAAAAGCTTGAAAAATACCTACTTCTGTTTGGCCTAGAAGGCCCTAACCTGGCCCCTGCATAAGGCTCTAGGTCTAGCTCTTGCTACACCCTAAAAAAGCCAAGTTCATCATGCCAAACTTTCGTAGCACCGTGACTTTGTTCAGTCCATCGCACTATTCCCTCTGCCTTGAATGCCCTCTCATTTGTCTATGAGGCCCCCTGTACTCATCTTTCATTCATTAATACATGTTACCTCCTCCACCAACACTTCATCTCTCCCATGGCAGCTAATGACACACACACGTTGTACCTTTATGAGGAATTATAACCTACATGATAGCCCCTTAGACATTTCACTAATCCTTTTAATTTTAGACTTGACTGTCTTCCCAACTTCTAAACTATAGACTCCCTGAGGAAAGGAATACCTTTTACTAGTCTCTGTATCCAGCAGCACTGAGTTGCTGTACATGCCATATGATAGGGGTTCAAAATTGGCAAAATGAACAAATAAAACATTAGGGACTTGCATCTAACTTCTCTAATGTTAGGAACGATTGCCTTTGCAACAACGCCTGTTCATATCGCAGTGCTGGATCAAGATTTCCTCATTTCTGCTACAATAGCTCCCAAAGAGCAGCACCCAGTAGCCTTGGGCAGAATGAGGAGGAGGTGTCAGCTTCCTGCTCAGCAAAGGAACTCAGTTCAGGTTGCAATGCAGCAGCACCCACTTCCATGCTTCAGGAGGTTATCTAGGGAAAGGCGGACAAGAGGGTTTCCAGAGGTTCTCACAGGCAGGTGAGATAAATCAGAAACAGCATTATCGGATGACGGGGAGAATCACATTTTATAAATAACTCTTAGTGGAGGGTAGGAAGAGGGAGGATTCTCTATTCCCATATTGATGGCACTAAATCGCCAATATGATCTAAGCAAAACAAAAGGTAGCATGAAGTAACTCACTGAAGTTACTTGGTGCCTGTTACCTACTGTAATAGTTCTGAAATAGCTACTGACTCACTGCTCTCATTATGAGAGCCTACTTGGAAAACCGGGGTCGAACCTCACAGGGGCTCCTCACGCAGGTTTTGAAGCTTTTTGTAGGCTTTATTTTACATACATGAATGCTGTAATTCTCAGAGGTCTGGTCACCTATTTCACAAGCCACTGCTTCATCGGCCTTCAGTGTAATTAAAAACAGTGCAGGCAGCAGCATCCAAGACACTTTGACAGACTCTGCCAACTGTCAGTTTCAGCTGTTCTTTTCTGTTTCCACCATAGTTCACAAACTACTACTACATGAGCCACGTCTGTTTCTGCCTAAACTAATCATTTTTCTTTAAAAATAATTCCTTTTGCTTGAAGTTTGCCCCAGACTTGCAATTTTATCCATAATTAAGGCAAAGATGAATTATTATTATAACCTAACAGTCAAAAATATATTCATAAAATGTGAAACGTTACCCACTGTATTAAGTTCTAGATACCTGTCAGAGGAAGGTAATTCAGGACTGCCTGGGTAAAACTTACAGAGCCATGTAAAGTTCTGTTTCCTTGTGCTTTAAGTAAGTGCTGAAGGCTGCTTATTCTACACCTATTAGGTGTAAACACCTACCAAGGATAGAAACGTCTACAAATGCCTTCTCTGTATGGTCTTTTACTTTCAATTATCCATCTTCTCCTGACAACTCTGCTTAAGTAAGTGTATTAGTCAGAAAGAGTAATAAACCCAAATATAGACGTTCAGAAAAATAACGACATAAATATTCCTTTTCCTCTCTAGTCTACCTTTAAGACTTTATTAAGAAAAGGACAAATAAGTAAGTTCATAAACAAATTTAATTACACCAAAGTATCTAAAGTGTGTGCTATGTGGGGGCTTATGTTCATATATTAAACACTAGTCCCCTTAGCATTAAGTTCATACCAAGCTTCCCTTGGTAGAATGTAGAGCCCTGATGCAGGTTAAACCATTTTCTCCCATGATGCTCCTACTCCACCATCTATTCCAGAGAGAAGGCAGCCTTCACCATGGAAAAAAGCCACTTGATTATTTTTTTTTTCCCTCTAACATGTTTTACACAGAAGAGTGTATAATATAAAGAGAAGCCATATTTCCAAGGTTTCAAGTAGTATTTTTCAGTATTTTCTTTTACTAAAATTGGTACAATTCATCCAAAAAAATTTTCAACTGTCATTATTTACATACTTAAAAATTGCGTAGAGAAAACAATCTCTCCATCTGAAAGATTTACTTAAGAAACCAACTAGTAATCATCAAAACAGAAAGAAGAAAAAATTCATTTTTATAGACTAAAAAAAATTTTTAAACTCATCGAAGTTCTTCATTTTATAGATAAGAAAACAGTTCGTACAGGTTAAGTAATTTGCCTCAGATAACAAAGCACTCGAAATAGAATGAGGTATTTTAATTGCTCTAAATCATGCAAGTTAAATATGTTCTCATCCACTGTCATTTAAATGTTAAAATTATCCCTCTTTCTCATTAATTCCTGACGAAGGACTCCTACAATATATGTTCTACATTTTCAAATTTGTTCAATTTAATACACTTCAAATTATGACTCCAACAAAAAAGGAGGTATCTAAGAACTTTCCTCCAAAAGTTTCAAGAAAGTTAAGGTGTGGACATCCCTAAAATGTCACAATGAATTTCAAAGTATAACCTTTAGATTGCTGTCCCCCAAGTACATTTTGATGTTTGTTCAACCACCACAGAAAAAAAAAACAGGGAGAAAATTCTAGAAGTTTCTCTTTGACAAACAGCATCAACAATCTGTGAATGAAATGCTTAGATCATTATTCCATTAACATATAATGGGTTTCTGGCTTAAATTAGGAAGTTACTAGCATTTCATCAATTTACTGCATGAAGAGTTAATGAAAGGTTGGGAAATGCACTCTTGGTTGACTTTGGATCTGAAAGAAGGTGATCTGACATTGTCAACAACAAACTGAAGACCTGAGCTTAAAAGCAAACAGCAGAAGAAATGAACAAGTCCCTTCAATAAAAAGCTCTTTTCTATTCAAGCTCTGATCTCTTACCAAGTGCATTGGCACCGGGGAGACCACAGCAATAAGGCTTTCGGATTTTCATGCCAATGCCCCAATAAATCAATTCTGTACATTTTTAACTTTGGAGACTCAAGGGCAAAGCAGAGGGCACAGTGTGGGTAACAATTCACACTGGATCATTTTTCAAGGACTGTAGTTCTAACCACTCCTTACAATTGTTTCTTTGTGCAACTGATTATTCTCAAAGTACTGAGAGAATGCAGTAAGGTACTTCTCTGAAAGATAAGGGCAACAAAACCCAAGACATGATTTTGATTACAAACTGATGTGGCAGTTTGACCAGTCAAGTGCAGTGTATGGTTGTCTTCTTAAATATTTCTTAATCGTGACCTCAGGTGTCACTGCACAAACAAATAAATCTTGTTGAAAGGTTCACATACCTATATTTTTAAAGTATGGCCGGTTTAGCAAGGTGGCAAATTTGTTTGAAAACATGAAACACAGACAGTCGCCACCAAGCTCAATCACACACACGCACAGGTTCAAAGCTGTGTTACACACACACACATACACACAAAATCCTTACCCCATTTTGCCCAATGAAAACTTGCTCCGAAGTTTCTGCTCTTAGGCTACGGAATAACTTCCAGAGGAATGTCTCCGTCTGCTATTTCGCAGTTGCGTTTCCAGCCCCCGAAGGTCCTTTTCTGGAGGTATTTCAGTAATGCTGACAATTCAGTGAGTTCGCTTGTATAAAATGAATTCTCTCTCAGAAATACCAAAACGTTCGCACCGAGGTGGCATTTGCTTATTAGCGTTAAAATGCTGCGCGGAGGAGACAGCGGTTAACTCTTAATTCCACAAAAAAAAAAATTTTTTTTTTTTAAAAATGAGTCTACGTGTTGGAAAAAACGCGGAATCCAGCTTCACAGAGTCCTACGAAAAATGACTTGGGTGGTCATTCCGCTCAGGTCTTCTTCCTCCACTCTCGGGAGAGGCAGGTAACTCGGTCTCTTCGGCGCTACTAAGGCTGCGGGTTCAAATTTCTCCACCACCACACCGGGTCCCTGGGGGTGGAGCGTGCAACCCAATGCGACGTGCACTTTTATAGAGAGAGCCCTAGGAGAAAATAAAAATCCTAAAAGCAGTAATGCCGCGGCTTCCCTGCACTCACATTAGAAAAAAAGAAAAAAAAAGGCTACATAGAAAAAAATCTCCTCCGAGTGCAAACCCGGCAGCTCGCGACGTGCACAACACTCCACATTGGAAATCTGCCTTTTAAATTGTGTGTGTGTTTTTCCCCCTTCCTCCTAAGACTCGGAGCCGAGGAGAGGTGGGGAGGAGGCAGAGAAGGCTGGGCAGGATCGATGCATCCTCCCGAGAATACACGGAGCCATTTCCAGGCTGGCAGCAGGCTGGGGGCGCAGCGCGTGCAGGAGAGCAGGGGGGAGGGGGGCCCGATCCCACCTCCCTCAGCCCCTTCCCGTCCCCCGCCGCCGAGCACAATGGAGCCCGGCTCCCGCCCGGCCCTTCATCCGCGGCTGCCCCCTCTCCCCTCCTCCTCCTCCGCCGCCGCGCACAGCGGGTCCGCGGCTCCCGTCGGCGGAGAATGAATGAATCAGAGGGAGCCTTAGCCCCACGCCGCCCGGGCCCCCGGCCCCCGGCTCCTGGCTCCGGGGCGGGCCGAGCGCGGGTGGCCGGAGCGGAAGGGTCCCCGGGAGCCCGCCCGAGGGCAGGCGGGCGGCTAATCCCGCGTCGGGGGCGGGGAGCGGGACTCGGGGCCACCGAGGAGCCGCGGCTCCAGCGCCCCCTCCCCGGCTTCCAGCCTCTCACGCTCCGGACCGCCGCCGCCTCCTCGCACTCCCCGCACCGCCGGCCTCCAGCGCCCGCGCCGCAGGCAGCGCCGACCCGGGCGGCCCTGGCGCCGCCGCCGCCTTCACCGGACGCTCGCCGAGCGGAGGGCGCCCCTGCCCAGGTCAGCGCCCCGCGCGGCGGCAGAGCGGGCTGCGGCGGCGGGGGGAGCGGGCAGCGGGGCGGGGAGCGCGGGCCCTCCCCCTGCTCGCGGGGGGCGGGCGGGAGGCGGGCGGCTGCCGCGGCGGAGGGCGCCGGGGTTGGGGCGCTGACACGTCCCGAGGGCCCGGCGGGGAGGAGGCTGCAGCCGCGAGGGCGGCGGGGAGGCTGGCGGCACCGAGCCGGCCCGCGTGTGGGGAGCTGGTCGGGTCAGCGAGTCCGTCAGTCCGTCCGTCCTTCCTCTCCCCCGCCCTCCCCTAGTGGCCGGCGGCGGCTGGCTGGCCGTGCGCCCCGCTCCGGCTCCGGCTCCGGCTCCGGCTCCTGGCCCCGCTGCCGGCTGCCACGGCCCCCTCCTCGGCACGCCACGCCGGGTGCTCGCGCCCTGTCTCCATCCTCCCCGCAGGAGGACCTTTAAATAGCAACGTCAGCGCGCTCCGCGCCGCACGCACGTCACCCGCCGCTTACGTCACCGGGGTGCGGGGGATGATGTCACGCGGCCGGAAGTACTGCTAAATTAGGGAAGGCGCAGGGGAGGCGGCTTCCACCAGCTCCTCTCTCTGTGCCCACCTGTTCTCGCTTCTCCTTAAAGGCCAAAGCGCAGGAGACAGCCCGCGAGGAGCCGGGAGGAGGAGGAGGCAGAGATTGCCTTGGGCGCACAGGTGCCAAAAGCCAGTGACTCATTCCTGGCTGCAGCACAGAGGTGTCAGGCGGGTGCTAGCTTGTCTCCCACTCGCGCCTCTTATCGCAGCCGGATCCCCGGGCTTCTCGAGTCCCAACTAGCACGGATATGTGGGAGGAAAGCCTGATCACTAGTGATAGATGATTTCTAACAAAACTTAGTTAAAAATCACCTTCATTATCAAGAGTCAGTGCTATTCTGGACATAGGAGACTTAAACAATCCCCCACTCTCCCCCGCTTAGTGGTTATCTGAATCACGAATGAATAAAGAGCGGAGCCATAAACAAATGTTATAATGCAATAAAGGATAGTAATTAACAGGGAAGAAGGCCATCAAATAATCTAAGAGTTTTTATTTGCAGTACAGCAAAGTTTTGGCACAGGATAACGACTCAATTTTTGGTAATTACCGTCATCGACAGCAAATGCCAGTATATCCTCTCAATTCTGGTTTATCAAGAATATGAGTTCCAATCTATGGAATTAAAAATAAGAAAGACTATCAAATCTCCCTTTTAAAAAAAATTAACACAAGCACATTTGGATTATGTTTGTCTTTCTTGGTTTGGGCCATGTGATAACATAACCTCTTAAATATGTCGTTTTTCATTTCCTATATGGCAAAGGGAATTTTTAAAAATATATATTTTATTGATTTTTCAAAGAGATGAAGAGAGAGGGATAGAAAGTTAGAAACATTGATGAGAGAGAATCATCGATCAGCTGCCTCTTGCACACCCCCTACTGGGGATGTGCCCACAACCAAGGTACATGCCCTTGCCCAGAATCAAACCGGGGACCTTTCAGTCCGCAGGCTGACGCTCTATCCACTGGGCCAAACCGGTCCCGGCAGCAAAGGGAATTTTTAGGTTTGCTAGCTGTGTATGTGCATAATAAATCATATTATGAATGCTTTTAAAATAGCAAATTACTGCAAGTTATAAAATATCCTTATTATTTTGATAGTTTATTAGATAGACTTAAATAATGAACTTTGATTTGATTTAATGTGATAGTTATAGAATTACTAGATAATGCCAAAGGCCATTGCTATTTCAGTTAGTCTATAAATTCAGTGGCCACATTTTCCAAACCAAAGTCTAGGCATATCATTTGACAATAGACAAAATATTTGAAATCTGAAGTGACCTGGAAAATCCAGGACATAGGATTGCCAACCTATAAAGTGATTGTTAGGAGAGCTATAAATGGATATCAATGCAGTCTAAATAAAAGAAGCTAAAACTCTGCAGAATTTATACTATGTGTAGTTTTAAAAAAAAATGTTTTTAATGTTAAACTGCTAGCATAATTTCTAATTAAGGAATATTTGTTTTACAGCTTTCTGTATTTAAATTTTCTTAGTTAATTTAGGAGCCTATCACTGAAGGACACTAGCCAAAATAGGACCAATTTGTAACCAAATCAGGCTTTCTGGTTATCCTTACATTATAAAATCAAGCAATTTAATATTTCAATTGCTTTCAATCTGAAATATTAAAAGTATTTTTAGGGTTATAACAGGTTAATAAAAAACAACACCCTGACTGACAACTATCATATTAATAGAAACTTGTACTAATTTATCTTTCAAATAAATGGAGTTTTTTACATATGTATAAAATATTAAAACTGCCTGGCCAGCGTGGCTCAATGGTTGAGTGTTGACCTATTGAACCAGGATTCCCCTGCCGGGGCACATGCCCGGATTGTGAGTTCAGTCCTTAGTGGGGGGCATGCAGGAGGCAGCTGATCAATAATTCTCTCTCACCATTGATGTTTCTGTCTCTCCCTCTCCCTTTCTCTCTGAAATCAATAAAAATATTTTAAATATATATGTATATATATACATATATATGTTTATTTATAAAGCAATAAGACTGTCAGGCTTCAAATATTGTTATCTGTGGGCTATTTGCAAATTGAAATACAAATTAAGTTAGTTACTAAAATTTCTCTACAAATTATTTCCTATCTGAACTAAATTACTTTTCTCTTTCCTGCTCTTTCTGTCCCAGCTCACTTTGTCATTATTAGACACTTCATTCTACTCTTTTATCATGACTTCTTTGGGTTATAATCGTAGTCCCCCTCATCTTTACCCAAATGTCAAAACAGCGAATCAACTGCCTCCCAGCCTTTAGAATGCTGACCCTTCCTTAGTGTTTCTACTTTTCAAAGCTACAAGGTCGCTTCTCAACTGCTCTTTTGTCAGCTGAAAACAGAGAAACATTTTTCCTATATAAATCTAATGGTGCATTGTGATAAAATTACTCAAAGTCTATGTGATTATTTAACTTCAGCTTCTGCTTTTAATTTACAAAATTCTGCCAGTAATTGTTCTCTTCCTCCCCCTCCCCCCAGTTTGTGTAGTATATCTGGGAATCTATATGCTCATGTGCCCAAAGGAATAAGCAAGATGTTTGATATTTCATGGAATATCTGCTCAGATATAAAATAATCAAGTAAATACCCTTTTCTCCCCATCCCTCTTGAAACAATTATAATGCAATTTTAAGAAGTCAGAGAACCATTCTATGGTTTTCCAACACAAAGTTATTATATTTTCTCCTGATGTAACCCAAGTGCTAGCCACGAATTTCTAACCCTTATTACTTTGCATGTGTTTTAAATAATGAGCTTCACATATGTATATAAGTTTTATTTATTTATTTATTTATTTATTTATTTATTTTACTGGAAGAGGCAGAAAGTACTTTGGTAGACTTTCAGATTTTTAACAGTTCCTGTTTCCTACTACACTCCGAAAATTTATGGAGAGGCTTCTGAATACCCTGATTTTAGAATCTGTGGGTGGAGGAGGCATCTGTTTTAGTTACAGAGTTTACTTCCATGCCCTTAATAGGAGATGGTAATAGTCATGGGTGTTCATAGACTGGT